AAAGGGGTCAGGCTCCCCCACTGATAGATTCATTGGAAAGGATAAAGGTATGAGGTTTTTACCACTTATCCTTCATTTGTGGGATTTGTGCGTAACAAATAGAGGATTTAGGAATTTTAACATTACAGGAAAAATCGAATATGCTCGATGAATTAATGCAGATTGAAATTGCTTACAGTATTTTGAAGACAGATACTACAGATGAGAAAGAAAGTGATCCGATTGATGTCCACTATAAAAAGCTTCATACTGAGATGGAGGTTAGTTTGTTCTTTTTCTGCTTTTGATGCTTACCTTATTTAGTGTTTGGTCAGTGAACTATAAAGCTCTCATTTTTAAAAATTTTTTTGCAACTGTTGTAAGAATCTTTATTCATTCCCCTTTATCTTGCCGTCGTTAAATTTGACGGTTTTACTATACATATGGAAAAAGAGCGCCGCATTGACTGGTTTTAGGTACTTGACAAGGACAGCGATGAGTTCCAGCGTATTAAGAAATATGTGAAAAACACGCATGCTTCGACTCACAATTATTATACTCTTAAAGTTTTAGATGCAAGTTTTTTACTGCGCTTGGTGGTGGCAATATAGAAAATCCTCAATACTTCCTTATTCACCTTAGCCTTTGCATTTAAGGTGATCAGAGTACGCCGTGAGGGAGAGGCCGAGCGCTTTAGGAAAGACCTGCCGAATCGTCAGCTGTTATGGCATGGCTCAAGAACTACTAATTACGCTGGCATTCTTTCACAGGGCTTAAAGATCGCTCCGAAGGAGGCACCCGTGGTCAGTCCTGATATTGCTTTTAATGCGTTCCATTCGTGTCATTAATGGTATGTGGGCCTTAGAAACTGGTGATGACAAATTGCAGACCGGATACATGTTCGGAAAAGGAATTTATTTTGCTGACATGGTGTCGAAGTCGGCTAATTACTGTTGTGTTAATAAAGGCCAAGGGCTTCTTTTGCTGTGCGAAGTTGCGTTGGGAGAAATGCAGGAAGAAAAGCAGGCAAATTACATTAAAAAGCTTCAGTCGGGAAAGAACAGTTGCAAAGGTAATAAGTTTTTTAATTGTTGGACGCACTAATACAGTAGGGCAGGTGCAGCCACTTTCAAACTTTTCTTGGGGCATTTATTAACAGAATTTCAGTTGTAGTTACTGACTCAGCAGTTGACTCCATAGGCTTTTTCCGCCTGAAGGCCATAACTTGATTCAGAAAAAAAAATTGGATCTTAAACTTCATTTCAAACTTTATGGTTCCTATTGTTTTTCCGACTCGCGTGGTGGAAAATTAATTTGATGCAGGTTTGGGAAAGACAGTTCCGGATCCGAAAGGTGCTGTTGTGACTGATGATGGTCTTACGATTCCTATGGGTAAACCTGTCGACACGAAAAAGACGGACCTTTCTTTACTTTATAATGAGTAACGTTTTCTGCCTTTTTTTTCGAATACTTTGGTTTTTTTTCAAAAAAAAATGTGTTTACTTCCCCTTTTTTTACTTTACGGGTATTGATGGTTGTTGATTGATGACGTTGCAGGTACATAGTTTATGATGTGGCTCAAGTGCAATTGAAGTATTTGTTAAGGATTCAGTTTACTCCTGTAGTATGAATCAACTGTAAGCTGCTGGCTCTAGTATGCCTGAACTCATGTCCGTCATCTTTGTTCACTGGGAGAGAACATTTACGTTGCTCTACCTAACTAAATGCTTATTGAATACCTCTGTCCACTGTTTACGTTAACTCCATTTAATTGTGTTAGTGGAATGTTATTTGACTGAAATTCAGAGTTAATTTCATTGTGTAAATAGTTGCTTATTCATTATACCATGAAGTTTTTTTCCTGATCGAGACTTTTCTACCGAATACCAGTTACGAAATTACTTCAAAATTTTCATCGGAACGGTTCTTTGAGTGAGTAATGATTATTTCAAATATTTGGGCGAAAGATAATATTTCTAAACCGACATTGATGAGGATCTAATAAATCTAATTAATTTCCGAGTGGCAGACGATCTATGGCAAGAACCACTTTACCGTTAGACACTTTGTAACCTTGTCATCTTTTTAGGGGGGGGGGGAAAGAAGAGGTTTTTAAATTGTTGAGAATGAGATTCTAATATTTTTTTGGGGGGGGGAGGAGGTAGGTGGGTACGT